ACTGTGTATCCAATAGTCACCAGGTGTTGCAATAAAATTGAGTGAGTTGGGGACTGGCGAGGTCATTTGTGCATTCCACAAAACCTTTCATCCTGAGGATATCGGCTTTGGTTAATTTCGTTTTCTTGTGGAATAGGCTGATTTTCGTGAAAGGTTCACCTTCTTGACAATAACAACGAAGAACGGCCTCGAAACTCTCTCTGAGCTCTCAGCAAATTTCGGATGTATATGACTTAAGTGATTTCATCACCTGTCAATGTAATTGTGTGGCGTGGCGTAAAATTTCGGGAAAATAAGTTTCTTTTTTGCTTCTGTTCCGTTGCCTGATATTCCCTCAGCTACGTATGGCCCTTGGACCGGTTGTTTATCAGAATTATGAGGACTAGCCGCACGCGGCGACGTAATATATGGATTTTTTACCATTCATGGTGGTGGTGGTACACCGGTCGTAGGCAGCCTTGCTGCCGCCCATCTCGATACCTCGCACATCAGGCGCTGGTCTAATGTTTGATAAATTGGGGCGTCCACGACGTCTCCTTGTAATTCGTCTGTTTGTTTTGGTTCAGTCACTTACCGAAGCGTTTCATCTGCATATTGTACGGGCTGTTGGCTGTGTAAAATACAGATTTTCAGCTGTAGACCACCGAAGTCTTACCCCTCGTAGGTTGCGACAACTGAGTTGTGTTACTCGTGTCACCCTATGGGGTTCTTCTGGTTGTTTTACGTTAACCTTTCTATGATACAAGTAGTTGTTCTCTTTCTCTGTTGAAGTCTACTTGGTTAGAGATACAAATTTATTTGTCGTTGTGCTGGCTGTTGATTCTGAAAACAGTTCAAAATTGCTCGATGAAACAAATTAATATTTGCTATTCTCTGCCGCGCTATTCACATAGAAGCTGATATGGACGTGGAGCAGTTACTCCCACATTCACCACCACCGCCGGAAACACGGGTAGATACCGTTCCTGTCAATCCGAATACGAATGTGCACACGAGTGATCCGACGTTCTTCATCCGTCATCCTTCTGACCAATCGTCAGCGCACTTCGTCAGTCCGAACACCAATCCATCGGACACCCAAGCTGTGCAAGGAGGAACCATTTTGGAGAAAGACACGGGCCCGGTTGCTGCATGTGGTCACGTGCGCATTTTACATTTCACGATACAGTTGGAGTTACCTTCGGAGTGTGGCGTACCAGGTATTTGTTCTGAGTGCTTCACCTTCCCCGAGACCGAGACTGTGGCTTCGTTAAAGCGTCATTTCATCCAACTTCGATTAGCTGAACTGACTGTGTTGGCCACTTCCGCGGAATGGTCCGAGCATTTCAGTGAGGTGAATCCGAACACACTGTTGGCGCATTTGCGTTTTGACTCGACCGGATCGCCACAAACATTTACAGACGATTCGGTACGTTCTGTTCTTTGGAACACTTTTTTTACTCCTATCCGTCCCCGGATGTTCCGCTATCCATGATCAATTTCCTCTGTGTAACACTAGGGACGATTCTGTTTTCCTCTGATTTATTCGCCTGAACAGGATTTCCGGGTTGAATCGACTGAAGGTGAACACGATATTTTGTCGATTTATCTTCATACTTGTAGTTGTTGTCTGCTGGAAGATAGATATCGTTTACGAAGCGAACCATTCATTCTTCAATGGATAAATATGGTCCTTTCGTAAGTGGGCCAGACTGTCCTTCATCCAACTCAGATACATTCAGTTTTCCGAGAATACGAGTCTATACTGCCGCAGTACAAATTACTTTCTACTGCACATGGATTACGCCATTGCTTTTCGCATTCAGCGTGTGCTGCCGCTGTCACCTGTTTTGTAAGAACTTCC